TTAATTCCCGTCATTCTACTAAAATAGGCACATATTTATTTTAATTTACTAAAACTATAGCTATAGAGCTCAACTTCAATTTTTACTCTTAATTTCTTTAGTCTTGCAGATTTGGAGACTATAAAGCTACACAACTATGCCAGTTGTACAGACTGGGTCACAAACTCCTCACATGCCAGGCTGGCTCACCAGACCTCACACGCAAGTCCATGCTAGGTAATTGGGAAAGATCCCAGGAGCCATTGGCAGATGACACGAGCTCAGTCCTCAGCAACAGTAGCAGCAACTTAGAGGTCCAGCAGCTTACAGGTCCAGTGGTGGTGGCAGCCTCACAGAGGGTCCCAGAGACACTGGCAGCAATAGCTTGCAGTAACAGCCTCCCCATGCCCCCCCCAGGGGCATCTCGGGGATGGGGGGCCCTGTGGATCAAAGCCATTCATTCTTTATACTTAAGTCATAACCCAGGACACCTGGGTGCACATGTGCAATTACATTAGATAATAATGAAGGAACACTTGGGCACACACGCATATTTACATCAAATGTTCAGCAAGATTCTGAACATCTGAGGAGCCCTGACCACTTTCCTATATTTTCCCAACAATCCACCCCTTTGGGGTCCCTTGCTGCACAATCTACATGTTCAGAATCTTCCACAATGTTCCCTTAGCAGCAATAACTGACCCTTGCATTCACATATTACACATTCCATCTTGGCCATCCCAAAAGTCTTTAGCTTGCTACAGCATCAACTCAAAAGTGCAAAGTGCAAAGTCTCATCTGAGACTAAATGCAAAATTCCTTTCAGCTGTGTACCTTCAAAAATCAAAACCAAATTTATCTGCTTCCAAGATATAGTGGGACAGATATTGGGTACACATTCCCATTCCAGAAGGGAGGAATAGAAAGGAAAAACAGGCCCTAGACAAATCCAAAACACAATGCTGCAATCATTAAGCACACTGGGGCATCTAGGCACCCAAAGCATTGGACAGGCTTGCTCCTACAGCTCTGCCAGGTGCAACCCATTGAGGTCCCCTGGTGCCTGCAGCTTTTCCAGGGCAGTATTGCACATTGCCAGCAACCCCACAGTTCTGGGCTCATGATGGCAGTCCTACTGTCCTGGCTCCACTACACATTTCCCCAGTGTGGGCTCTCAGTGGAAACTCCAACCCTACTTTTATGCTCCACGTTGCTCTGTAGATGACCTCTGCAGTGGCTCCACCCCTGCAGCAGGTCTCCACCTGAGGACCCCAGCTTTTTCATATATCTTCCAAAATCTGGGTGGAGGCCACCAGGCCTCCACTGCTCTCGAGTTTTGCCAGCCTGCAAACTTAACACAACATGAACACCTCCAAGGTTTCTGGCTTGTGCTCTGTGGAGCTCCTGCACAAACCATACTTGGGGCCACCCAAGGCAGGGTTGCTCCAGCCAGAGTGGCTGGGATGCAGGGAGCAGTTTCCCTAGGGCACCAGCACTCCACAGAATCTCAGTTCTCCTAGGCCTCTGTGATGGGAGGGGTGCTGTCCCTAACTTCTGAGATGCCCTTAGGGCCTTTCTCATTGTCTTGGCTATTAGCATCTAGCTGCCCCATCCCTGGCTCCTGAATTACTTGAAACAGCTCAGCTTACAATGGCTATTCACTCACAGTCTCAGGCAGTTCTGCAGCCTTCGCCCACACAGTTTGAACAACTGCACTTTCCCAGTCTGTCAAGGAGTAGCTGCCCTGCACCTGTGCATATCTGTGGCTATTCTGTAACTACTGCCACAGAGATAGGTGTGTAATAATGGAGACTAACTTTTCCACCTTTTCACCAGGTGAAAACATACTTGAAATTCTGCAGGGGCACCTGTCCTCGGGTCATCTAGCCATCTGCATGTGGAACTCTTTTCTCAGGTTTATATGGCACCCATCAAGCCATCGGTTTTAAGTGGCACCCTCCAAGCCATTTGCCTTCGGACAAACACAATATGCATTTACTATATCATCTCTAGAGCATGTTACACCATCCACCCGTAGGTCTCATAACTGCAGCAGCCAGGGGCTCTTCCTGTTTCTGCCACTTTAGTGTTTCCCCAAGCCCACCCATTCGACCTGGGTATATGGGACATAGGTAGTGAACTGGGTCGCAGCCAGTGGGTTGCCTACCAGTCTGCCCAGTACCATAGGCTGCCCATGCTTCACTATCTGATGAGCAGGTCATTCTAGGGGGCACACAGTCTCCTCCAACTCACCATCGGGTTCATCTCCATCTTTGTCGTTGGAAGCAGGGATGACCTGCTGCTGTACTTCAGCCTTCAGGACATGTACTCACACTTCCAACCTGTCTGCTTTCTGCTGTAAGTCTCAAAACTGTGCTGCTTCATGGGGTTTCTGGTCCACATTGGCTTGCAGTACAGCGAACAACAGCCATACCCCGTTCAACAGGAAAGTGGCCACTAGGCACCACATACCCAAGGGTAGCCACATTTCCTCCCCCTCCCAAGGGGATTTCTGCTTCTTTACCTGCTTGGCATCCTACCCATGATGCCAATTGCCGGGCTCTTTTATCTGCCCGGAATCCTGCCATGACTACAGCAATTGCTGGGCTCTTTTTCCTGCCTGGAATCCTGCCATGACTATGCCAATTGCACAGACTGGGTCACAAGCCCCTCACATGCCAGGCTGGCTCACCAGACCTTTCACACGCAGGTCCAAGCTAGGTAATTGGGAAAGGTCCCAGGAGCCGTTGGCAGATGACACGAATTTAGTCCTCAGCAACGGCAGCAGCAGCTTATACGTCCAGCAGCGTACAGGTCCAGCAGTGGCGGCGGCCTCACAGAGGGTTCCGGGGACACTGGCAGCAACAGCTTGCAATAACAGCCTCCAGCAGCAGTAGCAGCCTCCCCACGGTCCCCCGGAGGCATCTCGGGGGTGGGGGGCCCTGCGGATCAGAGCCACTCATCCTTTATACTTAAGTCATAACCCAGGACACCTGGGTGCACATGTGACAATAATGAAGGAACACCTGGGCGCACGTGCATATTTACATCAAATGCTCGGCAAGATTCTGAACATCTGAGGGGCCCTGACCATTTTCTTATATTTTCCCAAGAGAGATCCATGTAAAAGGGCTGTGAAAATGTTACTTCGTTTACTTTGAGAAATAATAAAGTATTATTCAATTTCAAGAAAATATAGACTCCAAGATTTGAAACGTATAACAGAGTGAAGGGCATAGCATTCACTGAGATGAAGAAGACTAGGAAAGGAGTAAGTTTGGAGGATTAAGGATAGTCCAATGGTTCTCAAGTAGGGACAATTTTGGCTCCCAGGAAACATTTGGCAATGTCTGGAGATATTTTTGGTTATCACAACTGCGGTGGGGGTGGGGAGAGCTACTGGCATATAGTGAGTAGAGACCTAGTTTAGGATACTGCTAAACATCTTACAATACACATGACAGGCCACCACCACAAAGAGTGATCTTGCCTCAAACATAAAAGCACCAAGGTTGAGAAACCCTAGGTTAGAGTTCTTCTCCCTGACTTGGGTGACTCTTTCATAGTCTTTGCAGCAGACATCTCTTCTTCAATCTCTAATTACTCACAATTCTGTTTTTAGCCCAATTCTCCTTTCTCTACATTTTATCCTGGGGATATCATCCATGCCCATGACTTCAACTGTCACCTCTGTGTTGCTGACTCTCACATAAGTACATCTAATCCCAACTGCTCTTCTAGCTCTAAAGCATTATCTCTCTCAATATCCCCTCACATCTATTAATGAAGCTACTGCTACACCTGAATTTCCTGTCTTTATTAGTATCTGGTACAAAAACTACAGGGTCGTTTATTTCCCAAACATTTACTGAGTATCTACTTTGTATAAAGGGCTGACTTGGGTATTTGGATGAAGATACTGACGGTGGAGATGAGAGGCAGTTATGGTAGTAACTGCTTTAAATGTATTAGCCCTGATTATGGCAACAGTTTTGCGAGGAAGAAATTATTATGTCCTGTAAGCCAAAGTTCCAAGAGTTTAATTAATTACTTAAAGATCACAGACCTTGTAAATAGCAAAGTTTATTACCAAGAAGCTCTATTTTGACATTGAACTGTCTACATTAAAAAACACTGAGGATAGTACTGAAGAAGTGTGATCTACTGAGTCCGGAGACAAAGGGGCATGGGTGTGAAGGCTATTTAAATGATGAAGGTCTGAGAAGTTCCAGAAGCCTTTTCTTCTAAGACACATTGCACCTTCTTCTGGTTAGTTACCATATATATTAGAATATAACGTACCAGCGATAGTAAGGTGAGTCACTATTTTCTACTTCTAAGAAAGTAAATAAGTTGCCAATTAAAGTTTGGCATGCCATCAGTTGTCAGGTTTCAGAGATTTCCCAGATGTTGAAATGTGAAAAAATATATAGTAAGCCTTCAAAAATTACAAATTTGTTAAAATATGAAGAAAAAAGTAAGCTTAGATTCTATGACTGTATTTTCCACATTCGATTCCCATGGGCTGTGCTAGTGTGCTAGTAGTCTACACTATAGTCAGTTTACATGTTTGTATATTGTTATTTATTTACTTATTTATTGCTTTTTAAATCGTCGTAGCTAGTTTCATAGCTTTGTGATGTGCATCTGCAACTGGATTGTAAAGCTCTTCAATAATTTCTTTAGTTACCTTCCCTTCCCCCTCCCGCCCCCCACCCCGGGCCCCGCAACCCTCCCACACATATATCCATAAACCATACAGAGTTTACCACTTAGAGGCAAACTTGAATTTCTTCTAATCTTAAAATTGCATTGGGGAGGGGCGGAGATGGAAATACATTATATTAAATATACTCGTTTTTAAAGACCCATCCTTGCAGAAATGTTCAGACGGGGTATGGGATGGAGCCGAGAGGTTGGAGGCAGAGAAGGGATATATTTCCTGTCTCAGGATACAGGAAGTACGGTAAGAGAGAAACCTGGAGGAAGCCAGGCTGTGCCTGTAAAGAACCCGCCGCCATCACGGATCTGTCTTCCTTGCCAGGGCCCACTGAAGAAAACTAACGCTCGGGTCCCATAATCCTTGTGGGAGACCAACCTTGTGCCTCCGGGAGATCCACGCTCCCACCTGCAAACAAACGGGAAGCCAAGATTCCAAAAAAGCGCTGTCTCCTTGCTCCGAGGTGAGGTGAGATTATCCAGAAGGCACTCCCAGTGGAGGTAGTATCATTCTCCGCTCCTCACCTCCTCCTACGTCAGCTGGCCTGAAGTCTCACCCGCCTCCTCCCCCGAAGAAGTAGTATATTTCTCCCACCCTAAACCAGGTCAGATTCTTTCTTTCTCATCTAGGACATCCAGGCTCTCTGAAACTTAATTATGCATTTTCCCAGTTCTTTCACCCCTTTTCCCTTTTCTTTCCACGATTTCAAAATAGAAGCACATGCAGGCATTCAACAGTTCTTTCACAAAATATGCTTGGATGAAATGATGGATATTTAATGACAGTAAGTAATTATTTTAAATATTTTAGATGCGATCGCTGTGGTTATTTTTTTGAGAAATAGGCTTGAATCTTGGTTTTCTTGAGAGTAATTCAGTGGGGGCAAGGTGCAGGGGAGAATAAATGAAATGTTTATGAGTTGATAAATTAAAGCTGGATGACGTATATGTGGGGATTTATTATACTGTTCTCTCTACTTTTGCATATATTTAAAATTTTTCCATTTAAAAAATGCCTGGTTTAAGACCAGTAACTAGAATGCTTTGAAGGCCTAAGGCCTATACCCAGCACTGTGCTAACAGGGGATTGTAAGATGAGCCTTCAAAACTGTGTCCTCCTATAAGGGGAGAGAGTTTATTAAGTTAAAAAAAAGTTACAGTATGATGGTCAAACCCAAGTGCCATAATGTTTGCTTGTTCAAGGTATTCAGGAAGCACGGAAGATGGACCACATCACTCTGCCTGGTAGTAATCATGAGCCATCAAAGAGAAAGGGAAAACATGAGGTGGGCCTTAAAGGGTGAGTGATATCTGCTATGTGGAGGGGGAGGGAATGCTTTTCAGGCCTGGGATTTCCAGAACAAAAGCCCCAAGACAGGCTTGTTCTAGGAACAGCTTGTCTATAATTTTGAATCTATGAGAAGGACTGAGTGTTGCAGAGTCTCAAATGTTATGCTAAGGAGTATGCAGTTTATTCCATAAGTAGTAGCAACCATAGAAGATTTTCAAGCAAGTGATATTATTTGTATTTTAGGTGTCCATTTCATACTCTCAGAGAAGCAATTTCCTAGTCAGGTGAGCTTTACAGAATGCAAAAAAATTAAACCAAAGCTGACCCAAGTTTCGTAGATCTTTGTAATCTGAGGAAAGATGCCTCCTTTCTTCATTCATGCTAATAGACTTTTATGGAGCCCTTGCAAGGGGTAGGCACTGTGCTGGGAGCTGTAAGGGATGGATTACCAAGGCATAGTGCCTGTTACACAGTAGGAGTGAAGCAGATATTTGAATAAATAAGTCAATGAATGATGGGATAACACTGGCAACCAAGGAGGAACTGGACATCAGGTTTGGTGGTAGTGCATAGAAAAAGAGTTGGCTCTGTTTCACTTGAAAGCATCTCCCTGTCATTCCATACATCTTTATACTTGTCTTTACCTCTATCCAAAAGGGTAGTGGGGTAGGAAGGTGTGGGGCATAGGGAGAGCAATGCTCGGATAGAAAACAAAGGAGGTTGTATAAAGCAAATGTGCAAAATCTATGTAATTTCCCCCCAGTGACTCAAATCACTGAAAATTGTAATAATTGCCAATATTTACTGAAGACATTTTATGTGCCAGATGCTGTTCTGAAGGGCTTTGCATGTTTTAATTTAACCACAACTACTCTACTAGAGAGGTTTGTATAGGCCAAGGGAAGTTGTATAACTTGCCACAAATTATATGGTACCAAGTGGCTGAGCTGGGCTTTGAACCCAAAACATTTGGTTCCAGAGTCTATGCTCTAAACTACCATGCAATACACCCCTTCTAATACTGGGTTTTTTTTAAATTTTTATTTACAGGAATATATTTACAGGAATATATCATTGAAATGGGGGCAGGGTGGAGCATAAGGATTTGAGGAGGCAAGGGGAAAAAGAAGGACAGTAACAGAAGAAATTATTTCACCTTATTTTACTATTTTTCAGTCTTTGAGGGATTGCAGTATGAGTCCATTTCCGTGGTGCATTGGTAAAGTCGTTTACCCAATGAAGACAAAGAAGTTTATTTACCCTGCTTTTCTGATATCCTGCACCTGGAAGTTGTGATTTTTAAGGTAATCTCTTTACCAAAAATTTATTAAAAGGAGGAAGAATAAGAGTTTAGTTTGACACATTAAAAATAACTTGCCAAACAAAAAACAAAAAGCTAGTACCAAATTATAAAATTTAAACCATTATATTATATGAAACCATATATACCATATAATAATAATGTAATCCGCAGGATGTTTTGTTAGATTCACTCCTAATTTCCTTATAGTTTCTATTGTTACCATGAAGTATGTATTTTTAACTACATTTTCTAATTGTAGTAAATGTATATTTTTAACTGCATTTTGTAATTGCTGATTAATGGGAAGATGATTTATATTTTTTATATTGATTTTATGCTGCAGCCTTTCTGAATTCTATTTGTTTTAATAATTTATACATTCTTTTGGATTGTCTATTAATTTATTATATGAGGATATTTCAAAAAGTTCATGGAAAAATGGAATTAAGATACTACGAATCTTTCCATTAACTTTTTGAAGACTTCTCATATTGTAAATAATGGCAGTTTCTTCCTTTCGATAATTTTTTTTTTAGCTTGTCTTACTGTGCTAGCTAGGATTTTCAGTACAAGGAGAAATAATAGCAAAGGTAGAGGGTTTCCTTGTCTTGCTTCTGAATTCTACAAAAGTTCCATCTTTTTTAGCAGATTTTTCTTTTTCAGGTGAAGGAAGTTCCTTTCTATTTCTAGTTTGTGGAGAGTTTATATTATGAATAGGTATAAAGTTTTTTCACCAAATGGTTTGTCTGTATCTACTACCATGCTTATGTGCTTTTTCCCCATTAATATGACAGTATGACATTATGATAAAAGTTGTAATAATCAATTTTCTAATGTATTTCCTGCTTTTGGTTTCATCAAGTCTCACTATTGAATATTTTGTTTCCTATTTTAATAAGTTTTGCTTTTGTCTATATATTTTTCTTTCTTTTACTTTCTTTTTGTTTGCTTTTTTCTGATTTATTGAGTTGGATCATTAGCTTATTAATTTTCAATATTCTTTTCTAAAATAAGAACGTAGGACTATAAATTTTCTTCTACCACTTTAGAAGAATTTTCTATATGTAGTATTTTTATTCAACATTTATTATTTTCTAATTTCTCTTATGATTTCTTTTTTGACCCATGAGTTCTTTATTATTTTTTAAATTTCCAAACATATAGGCCTCCTTTTTTGAAAAATTACATTATGAAATTATTAGTACAATTGTAGTGAAACTTTATCTTTTTTTCTGCTTTAAAAAAATTTTTTTTTAATCTTTCTGGTGACAGGACAAAATTATACACTGGCTGCTCTTCCCAATAGAGTTTGGCAATAAAAAACTTTTTCTTTTATTAATACATAGAAAAGGGTTGATTCTTATATTCATTAATGGTCTTATTGTTTATTTTTATACTTGTGTTTTTAAACATTTTATTTTGATTTAATTTCTTTTTTTTTTCTAAGCAAAGAATACTTTATTATTTGTTGCTTATATAGCTTTTATATCTCTTTGTCTCTTTTTTTATTTTTTTTCTATTTTGTCAATATACAATGTAGTTAGTTATTGTGTCCCATCACCAAAACCT